GGTCATTGTTTCGTTACTTAACTTATTTTGAATTTGTGATGAGTCATCCATTGCCGTCATATGGACAATAGATGAAAGAAAGAAGACAAAACGTGCGTATATGTATAAGAAGAGAGAAATATGTATCACTCGTTTCGACTTTGGAAGGGGAATGAAAAAAAAAAGAAAGTTAATGAATAAAATAAAACACACTTGCATAATAGACGCATTACGTTAAACATTGAATCTTAGTAAACATCTTATTCACGTACTTGAAAATCTTCTTTCCTATTCTAATACATGGAAGCAACCTATAAAATGTCAAAAAACCTTTTGAACACTCTTTCATCGTTAGGTCGCACCTTTAATTCCTGTTATTGTTTGTGATAACCATATCGTGGAACATGTTTCCAAATTCAAGTGTTTAGGCACGATCTTTGATGCAAAATTATCGTTTTCTTCCCATCTTGATTACATTAAGAGGAAAATCCGTTACAAACGCCTCTCCACTTAAACGTCTATCAGCTAGTCGTATGTTAAGTGAGCATGTAGTGTAACGTTTATTTTTTGCGTTTATTTGTTCACATTTTCAATCTCTAGTAAATGTATACCCTATTCTTGTGATAAGTAAATAACAGGAGCTTGAAGTATTAAATCGTCAAATGTTTAGAACTACTCTTGGCTGGTATGGTGCCAAAAACGCTGAAATAGGGGTTTGTCAAGATACAAATGTATAGAGGCGTTAATACAAATACACTGAACAAAGCTGCTTTCTACCTCACTTGTCACACATTCTAGCGTGATCTGTGACTATATTCAACATAAACTGTATTTAATGTTTTTGCAGGAGTATATCAGTCCACGCAGTGCCCTGGCCAAAGAGGGGGTATGAGAGAGTGTACGAACCTCGTGCTTTTGGAAAAAAAATTTCTATTTAACAATTTCTTTTCTCCCAAGAATTTCGTCTTAGCTCTTGCCCAGATTTGGTAACCAAACTAATTAAAATTTAACAAAAACATGGATTTTTCCACTTTGTCTCCTAAAATAGTTGAGAGTAAAATTTTTCTCCCACTTTTCTTCAATGAGAAAAAAAGCTGAAATTGATATCAACACTATCATTTAGTTATTGTGTTGAAATTATGATGATATTGTGTTCTATAGCTTTCTTTCAAATAAATTTACACTCTTTCTGCTTTTTTCTCTCGCCACGCCACTGAACCCACAATTACTAAAAGAAGTATCTAATTTGCCGCAGAGGCAGAACCGGTGTGATCATTGTAATATTTTCCAATCATCTCTTTCTATGTGTTTTATTTTGGTGTTCAGACTACAGGGACGAAGTTCGTCTGTAGGCAATGTAAAAGTGTAGTTTTTATTTTATTTTTCTCTTGTACCACGTATTTTTTGTTATGTGAATAAAATAATATACTACTACTACTCATTATCATGTTAGATCGCATTTTTAATCTTTCTCACTAAATTTATGATCATTTTTCGTATATTTATTAACCTTTGGTACGATTTTTGACAACTAAAAAAGCCCGCACAAGTCCATGGAAAAAATCTTTCATTTGACGTTTATATTTTTTGTTTTAATCGAATTTGGTTGAATTCAAAAAATAAATAGTATGGTAATTGCAATCGTTTCATATGTCAGAGCTGAACCAGTAACGGTTTTTCGAATAGAAATAGAAAAACGTTTATTTAATTTTACCTTTTTTTATAAAATATTTATTCTGAAAATTTGATCAAAAAATCCGTCAATCTTTTTCAAAGTGAAGTACTCGATACTTCTTTGAATATTTCACAACAAAAGGCACAATTACAATATAAAGAAAATTATGAAGAAAATTGCAATAAAAGCATAAAAATAACGTAAACACCTAAAAATTGCACCTTCCCCTGCTTTATAATAGTTATTTAATTCGAACTGAATAACAAGTCAAATAAAAGTATATAGTAATCAGGAAGCGCACATACATCATGAATATTTTAATTTTAGTATAAAGGAAATATTCTAATGCGGTAATTAAACACCAATAGATACATTAAGGGCCCCTCCCCTCTAAAAATTTTTTTTCCCAGAGCACTCAATCTTACTGAAATTTTTATTGAATATGTATCTGACCATTGATAGTTCTCAGTAAAAATTTAAGCTCATAATATTGAGTTTTTCGCGAGTTATTGTAACATCAAGGGTCAAAAAGTAGGTGTCCGTGTGTCAAAGATTTTGTTTTCAATTTTAATGATACGGACCTCGGGATGGTATCAAAATGTAGAGAAGACCTGCCCCTACAACCTAACAAAGCTGGATTTTTGAGAAAAAAAATTAATTTTTTTAGACAGTTTTTTCGAAAAACCTAGATTAATTTTTTAGAAAACGCGAGTTTTTTGTAAACAAATAAATTGAAAACAAAAATTCCGGCTTTGTTAGGTTGTAGCGCTGATATTTACCTTCATTTTAAAACCTTCCCGCGCTTTCTAACATTTAAAATGGCGGAGAAATCTTTGACGCACAATCAGACAACAAAAAAACAAACAAAAAAAGTTTCGAGAAAAACGCAAAACAAGTTTCTCCTTTGATTATCGCGGTTTTTTTTGGAAAGTGGTACAGGGAAAAGTCTGAGAGCAGTTCGTCGTGGGTTATCGGCTATGGCGAATCGAATGAGCACATGCAGAGACATGTGCGATGTACTTTTTCCCATATGTAAGCGTTATTCCCACGGAAAAATCATAAAAAATCAATCAGTTTTTGATGTTGGGTGCCTCAGAAAAACCGCTGTAAAACCCTCAAAAACCATCGTAAAATCAATAAATCATAGTGCATTCGAAAGCAGATATATTTATTTGGTTATATTTAGTCCTAAATTATCAAAATATTTTGGATCGTACCACTAAATTGTTCTTAACCAACATTTACTCGTTCTATCGACATGAAAAAACAAAAGTTGTGTCGATGAGTGAACTGCATAGCCATTGTACGTTTTTGAGAAAAAAATACGATAAAAAAAACTCGACAAGGCTAATTTGGTAGCGCAGTTTTAAGACTTATCCTACATATGTATACACTTTTGCACAAACAAAATTATAGATAAATGATTTTTATCTACGATGATCTTCACAGTCACGTATCCGACCTTCGGATTGGGTCGGGTTGCATATCACTATTTCTGACTAACACAATAAAAAGTAAATACTGTGGTTTTTAACCGCGTTTGACTCTTATTTATTCAACAGATACACATCGAGATTCAATTCAAATGAGAGCTTGACGCTTTAGAATCGCTACGACTAGATTCACAACTAGCTGATATAGTTTCATAATTGACAACATGTAGATTCCACAAAATTTTTGTGATGTCAAGTAAATAGCCCAGGTTTCAACGAATCGTGTATAATGAGCTCGAATTCGTCGAAGTTATTTTAGTCGAAATATAGACAAAACAATCTCAGTAGACATTTTCGATGAGAAAATGAGATTTTCTCTGTAACAAGGCAAACTAGTGAGTTGGCGTTTATACTACATATTCACGACAGAAAATGCAAAAAAAAGGGTAAAAGGTTCGGCTTTAACGAATAAACTATTTCGAAGTTATAGAGCAAGCAATTTACAATGTCTCAATGGAGATTTTGTACAAAAAACCAGATTGAATACATGTTTCATCTTGATTCTCGGTTGGATAAAAAAACTCTAAAAAATTTCTTTTTTAAAATGTAGAGTTTTATACGCTCTCTTTTTCTGTCTATTTTAAAACGTTTCAGGACTCGTCATTAGCATACGAATGTAGTTAATCTCGATGAGCAGAATTTTGCAAAAGTGTTTGTAAACAGAGTTTTTGGATAAAATCAGAGTCAAAATATGATTTTATTTAAATTCAAAGTTGATATTCTGAAAACCTGCTTTTGAGGCTACAAGAAACGCTAAACAACTTTTAAAATTAGTTGAAATAAATGAGAGAAGAAATTTGATTCTTTTTCCAGATTATGCCCAAAACACCCAACTTTGGTTTCGATCGATGTACATCTCGGCACCCACTTAATATAGAGAGTCATTTTTCTCACAAGTGAATGACTATTACTAAACAAACAAAATAAAAAAAAGGAATTTAAAATTCGTAAACAATGAACAGTTTTTATAAACAAAAGATTCTCTGACAACCCATTTCAATGAGCCATATCTATCTTCGGACGAGGTCACCACATCTCGGTACTATTTTCTTATCTTCTGTATACACTATAATATGTAGTCAAAAGAACCGGATGTGGCAATGTCATCAGGATGGTGAATTATGGCTTATTGTTTATGGGTTCGTTTTAGAACTGCTTGTTGGCTTACAATAAAACCGGTAATTTCCTTTGTAGCAATATACTAAAATATATACAGCAAAAAAGCAATAATATTTGTTTTCAAAGCATCTATTGTCTTGCCTCTCGATTAATTCTAAGAATTGTCAGTCGTTCAACTCTCTCTTAGAATGTATGGTCTAAACAACATGTGTGCTTATTTAAAAAGATACTAAACAAACTTAACTATTGACAGATTTTAATTCTACTCAACACTTAAGACACTAAAAGTTGGTCACTCATATTATTTCGTCATATATTTTATTGAAAATTTTATAAAAATACAGATTAGTGTTTTACTTTCTTCATATACTGTTCAAATTGTTTATCGTCTTTCTCCTCATTGTCTTCTTTTTCACTTTCATCATCATTCTCATCATCGGTATCGTCTTCAATATCATTTAAATTTTTATGACCAATTAAATGATCTCCATCATCTCTCAAATCATCTTTTAAACGTTTTAAATCTTGTTCTTGTTTTTGTTTATCTCGTTTTTCTCTTCGTTTTTGCCATTTGTCATATTCTACTTTATAAACTTGATCATATTCTTGTTTTGCATCCGTAACAGCATCAAAAAATTCTTTACAACCATCACCTGTAATGGAACTAAATCCAACACATCGTAAATTTTGATAAAATTCATCTAACACCAGACTTAATGAACGTGTTAAATCAGATGAGTAAGTATGTTGTTGTTCAATCGCTTGTTGAAATAATTCAAAATCATTCATCCATTCAATAGCAAAACGATGATGGATAATATCAGTTTTATTCAAAACAATAATAAATGGTAAACGATATTTATATAGAATAGAAACAGCATATAACATATTTGACATGAATGTAATTGGATTTGAACTACGTGGTGTATCCATAATATAGACAACAACAGTTGGATACGTGGCACCTAGAGATTCAGTAATTATTGTACCTGACGCAGACCATGTAAACACTTCAATTTGACCGGGTGTATCAAATATAAAATGTTCATGTTTTTGTTCATTTTTATTCAAAATTGTTAATAGCTGATCAAATGTTGTTGAAAATAAGTTAAGAGATGTAATAATAGCACCATTTGGACCTAGATTATATTGTTTCATAACTTGTTTATAATTGACGGTATCCCGAATATCAACATTACATGGATAGGGTAATTCGTGAACAGCCGGATCAAAATTAACTATATATGGTGGACGATGGAGAGAATGAAGATACGCATTTATTCGTTGAATAAATGTTGTTTTACCACTGCCGGCCATACCAAGTACCAAGATACATACAGGCAGAGGACTTTTATCATTTTCAGTATTTGGTTTAGGTGTTGTTGATGAGGAAGATTCTTGTTGATCAATAGAAGAGGACGGGGGTGTATCAATTTCCATCTACAATAACATAAAAATAAATGAAACTAGACAATTTATTAAGAATAGGTTTTTCGCTCTCTGCTCTAAGGTACAACACTATAAAAACCGCGTTCATGGCATAAACAGCCGGTGACATTTCTGCATTTAGTACCCACCATACATATTATACACAATCAAAATCAATTAGTACTGAATAAATCACTAAATAAGTAGAAATGCAATAATAAATTTTGTTCTCGTTACTTACGAGCTGCTGAGGAAACGTTTTTGACAAGGGAAAAGAGCACTTCTGTTTTTACCATAGCATTTTCAGCATCTTTTTGTTACTGTTCCGCATTTTATCTCGTTAGCTCTTGATATTTCGAAGAATGAATTTTGTGTCAGGTGAAGCTAATCTAACTCTATAAAATATCATCTACCGATTATTCTTTCATTTCAGTTTTATGCTCTTTGTTGTCCTCACGTTTACCGTATTATATAGCACTAATGTGATTCTTCATTAGCGTCTTTAATTAAATAGAAGGTAAAGACAAGCAATCAAAACATCAAATTCTCACTGATGAATTTTTTGTTTGTTGACCAAGACCAATTTGTTCTTATTTATCAAACAACAATAGATTAATAACAATGTGAACAGATTTGTGCAAACAAAAAGCGAGAACCAACCACTTTGTTTCTCTCCGAATTAAAAATAAAAGACGAACGTAGACTGATGAAGAATAAAAAAAGACAAGAAAAGAAAAACGAATAATCAATAGCAGAGAAGGACAAAAACACGAACAATAATCGTTATTCCGTCTTGATATCATTCTCAATATTTAAGTTTTCTTTTCCTTCAGTAACAAAAAAAATTGTTTTCATTCATCAAAATATAATGTGGAATTATCATCTTTCATAACAAAAAAACAAAAAATACCAATAGAATTAAATAAATTTTATGCTGTTATGTCTATTAGTCTTGTTGCCGTAATTATATTTTTTTCTTTTTAGAAATTGATCTGAGTAAAAGAACAGAGTAAGAAAATCAATAGTAGCATGTAAAAACAAACACAAATATAAATAACAAAAAAAACAAAGAACAAAAACAAAATTTTCACAAAGTAGATAAAATAAATATGTTTGTATGCATAAGTAAAACAGAAAAACACCCGTACATTGTTTTAAAAAGAACTGCTCTCCAGATCGAAAGAATTAAAAATAGCAAAATGGAAAAACAAAATAGAGACTGATAGAAAAAAATTGAAATCATCTCTAAGAGGAGGAGATCATAACCGTTGCTGTGCATGTGAGAGAGTGCTTGTATGTTTATTTACATCTCATGTATATATTGTGTATATTTGCCACTTGAAGTCGACAAAATAAAAAAAGAAAAAAAATTAACCCTTCGTACAAGAAGAAAGAATAATAACAATAATAGAAAACTTTTTTGACAAAAAAACAGAAGAAGAAAAAAAATGCACCTGGATTTTACATAATTGCTTTGTTTTTTTAGATTAAATAAACAATAGTATATTGATAACGGAGGAGTTTAAATTCAAGACAGCTCATTTGAGGAAAACGGCATATATATATATATATACACACATACATACATAGGATGCAAGATCACAGTTTCTTGACATAAAGGCAGAATACCGTTTGAAAGTAGACGAACGATCAAAGAGAGGAAGAATATATTGAGAGCAGTCAGATACAGTCTATTGAGCAATCATATTATTTATGTTTTTTCTTTTCTCTTTGATGGTGGTCCCCAACTAATTGGTATTGTATTAACGATTGTCTGTTGTTGATTGCTTGGTTCATCTGTTGTTGACAATGACATGCCATTATTATTATTTAAAAATGTTGGAAATTCGCCTAAATATAAAATATAGAATAAAATCAATAATTATGCTCAAAAATACATTGACCCCGTTTATAGAGAAGCGTGAAGTCTGTATGAAGCGCTTCACTCATAATCTTTTCGTCTCCACTATCTAAGATCCAAGCGGTTAAGAAGAAGTTTAAAACAAATCTAAACTGCAGTGTGAATATTCAAATTACCACTTGAGAAAACCACTTGATATTCTCCGCTAGTTTGGAAACTCTTGTAACATTAGAAAAATAAATATATCTTACACACCTAAATCATTAGTATCTAGCACATTTTTTGTATCTTTCTTCGATATTTTAGTTCCGTTTTGTGTCGACAATTGAGTTGTACCATTTATTGTTGGTGATGACTGTTGTTCATTGTTATTATTTTCATTTTCATCGTTTGGTGAAGAACCCCATGGTGCATTTTTAACTTTAAATGGTGCTTGTTTTTGTCGTTTTTGTTTCTTAGCTCCAATAAATGTTATAGCATTTGTTGCTGCTTGATCGGCTTGTTGTGGATGTTGATGTTGTTGCTCAAGTAATTGATGTGAAAATGTCATTTCACCTTGTTGTTGTATACTAGATGTTTGACGAAAAGGAATATCTCCAACATAATCTTCTTCTAATACTAATAGATGATCGATACATTCATCAATTTTGTCTTGATCTTTTCCACTAATGTATACTGTTGCATTATTTGACTGTGAAAAACGAATATCAACATTATAATCTTTTTGTATTTGTTGTAATTTACTACCGCCTGTACCAATAATTCGTGCATGTACTCGTGGATCAATATCAATTGACATTGTTATTTTCGATTCGGCATCTTTAATAATTGTCATTATTTCATCTCGACATGCATTTATTTTATCTTCATTACCCTGAATTACAACATCGTTCTCACTATTATTTTCTCCTTCAGGTTGTACATCATTTTGAGGAACTCTTATATTAACATCATATTTTGTTCTTAAACCATTGACAGTTCGACCACGTTGACCAATAATTAATGAACGATATTCAGGTTTAATATAAAATCTTATTTCACGATATTTTTCATAACGTTCTAATAAATATTTTTTAACAAGTTCCAATGGTTCACGTGGACCAAATAAATTAATTTTATTTGAATCTGAATCAATTGGTGGAAATGATATTTGTACATCAGGATATTGTTCTCGTAATGTTTGAATATTAGTACCTTGTCTTCCTATTAATTGATTATGTGATTCGTGAGGAATTTCAACAGTATCTTCAACGGGTATCAATTTTTCTACATCAATCATTGCTTTATCAACATTTTCTTTTCTACCAATAAATTTAACTAAATCTTGTTGTGAATCTGTTTCTTGTTGTTGATCATCTTGAGGTTGACGACGTGCCGGAAATTTAATTTGTACATTATGTTCTTTTTGTATTGGTTGAATATAATATCCACCTTGTGCTAATAAATAACCATAATGTTTTTGTGGTATTAACATTTCACATGTAACTGTACTCTCCCATGTATCAATTAATTCATTTAAACGTTTTTTAACACCTTCAATTGCTTCTTTTGTTCCATGTAATTGTATTTGATCATTTTGTGTATTACGTTCAGGAAATTTAATATTTACTCCACCATATTGACGTTGTAAATCTAATAATAGTTCACGATTACGCATAAAAAATTTTGAATGCCATTTTCGATCAATTGTTATTGTATCATCGATAGAATTTTCAATATTAGCATTAAGTTGTTGTATTGTAGTTTCAATCATTTTTTTTGCTTTTTCAACATCCAGTTTTTTACCCGATATTTTAATGAGTTCTGAATCTTGATCATCAGGTGGTATATCAATACGAACATCGGTTTCTTCACGTATTTTTTGAATATTTGCACCACCTTTACCAATAATTATACGATGAAATTTTTTTGGCACAGACATATCCAATGAATACATATCTTTAACTTTTTGTTGTAAATAACGTGTACATTTTTCAACATCATCTTTATTACCACGTAATTGAACTTTATTACTTTTATCGTTAACATCGGGAAATGTTATTCTAACATCATGAAATTTTTGACGAATTTCTTCTAATTTTTTTGAACCAAATATTTGTGGATAATATTGTGGTTCAATTGAAACATCTGTTGTACGCTCATTTACCTAGAGAAATAGAGTGAAAAAATAATAATAATAATAATAATATGAAATTATTCTTTGACTATTAAATCTAGTATAAGCGTAATAAATACGTTAAGTGATTATTTTCATTTTTGAATTAAAATATTAATTTAAACTAGTTTAAAGACTTACCAATCTTACTACTCTATCTAATAATAATTGTTTTGCTTTTTCGACACTTGTGGCCGAGCCCATTAATTTTACAATTCTATTATTTGAATCGAATGCTGGAAATCGAATATCACAACCCGTTTCATCTTGTAATTCATATAATCTTATTTGATTTTTTCCAATTAATTGTTTATAATATTGTGGATCAATATCTAACTCTTCATACGTTGTATTATTCAATTTAAGTTCATCAATAGCCTTTTGTATTTGTGTACGAACAGCTTCAACTTCTTCTGGTGGTCCTTCGACATCGATACGATTGTCACGAAAAAATAATTTTACATCGGGATATTGATCCTTAAGTCTATCTATAATGACATTTCGGTCACCACGCACAACACTATGCATCCATCTTGGTGCGTCGACTTGAACTAGAGTTACTGAATTAGCCTAAAAGTATGATTTTTGTTTTTTAATTTAACTAAAGTATTCAAAAGTATGTGTCCATACTATTTTATAAACCATAGTGATAGCTTCACCAATTTTTGACATTTCACCAATCACCTGAATTGTTAATGTATCTTCTTCTTGTGGTGGTATTTTAATTTCAACATCTGTGGCATCAAAAATTAATTTTAAACCCGCTCCTTTTTTACCCAAAATAAAACGATGTTGCTGTTTCGGTATATCCAATGGAAATATCATAATTTTATCCTTCTAAAAGCGATAAAAATAATAATTATTATCATTATGGAATAAAACCATCAGTAACTAACTGATTTATTCTAAATACCATTCACTACATGAGAGGAATAATTATCTTAAAAACAATATTTATTAATTTTATTAAATTTTATGTCTTACCAATTGTTCATTGTAATAATGCATTATTTTCATTTTTGCTTGTTCAACAAATTCTCGATCAGCACCACGTATCGATATTTCATCGGTCTGTTTAATTGATGGAGGAATATCAATAATAACGTTCAATTCATTCGATAATTGCTCTTGCAAATGATGTTTAATCCATGGATGATATAAACATGGAATGACTAAGCGTTCATAACCTTTGTTTGCCTAAAAAAAAATAGAAACAAAATGTAAATTAAAACTTTATTAAACAAATTGCTCATTCAATGACGTTACTCATCAGCAAAATTTAAGACATAAAAATGAATTTTTCTGTATTCTACCTTTATTTCTAAGATTTTGCTAGAAAAATCGAGAGTTATTCATTCGTCAACATAGAAAAGCTAACACTGAAAATCGTACACCTATAAGAAACGTCTTAGATGATATGTTAAAGTATCTGAATAAATCCTATAAAGGTGTTATCGTATCGTAAATATTCTGAAATTCATATATTATAACTTTATAATAGATAAAGAGATGTTCTTCTTCTCTTACTATGACTAAAATTGCATTATCTTTTAACTATCATTAAAAACAAACATACTTGTTGATGATATATATCTAATATTTTTTGTTCACATAATCTAGCACCATCTTTTGAGCCTGTTACAATAATTGCATCTGATTTTGAATCTTGTTGTGGTACAGCTATTTTTGTTAATGTATCATTTTCTAATTTTTGTAAAGTTGTTCCTTTTGTACCAATAATATATCGATGATATTCTGGTGGTATATTAACATGTAGACGAACACGTGTTTGTAATTTATTTAAAATTAACATTTGAGCTGTACGAACACTATTCGGTTTACCAGTAATACTAATAACCAATGTTTGATCTTTATAAAAAAATGTTATATTGGTAGCTAAAACAAGAAAAAAAAAGATCTAGAATTGATGAAAAAAAATAAAACATGAAATATTAAACATACTTGTCTCTTTTTCTATTTGTGTACATAATTTTTGTATTGATTGACCAAAAACATTTCCAACCGAATTGTTTCCAGCATTATTTCGTTGATTATTCTGATTCTGATTATTATTTCGTCTAGGATTATCGGCTAAACGTTCTTCTGGTGGAATTTCTATTATTCTTGTTGTCGATGTTGAAGCATGAATAGCGAATTTTCTTCGTTTTTCATCATCATCTGAACGTTGATTAATCATGGCTGATGTTGTTGTATGCATATTGTTATTTTTTGCATTTGATGATGTTATTTTTCCACTATTTGTCATTGCTGAAGATGATAGAAATAAACTGGATCCAGGTGCACGTGTTTCACCCACTAATTCGGGAAACGCTTCATCATAATCGGGTATAGCATCATCATCGTTTTTATACACATAACCATTATTTTTTGCTGATTTATTTGAGTTAATGATAATGTTACCAACATTATCACCATCATATGAATCATAATCATTTGCAGCCATTGTGTATATACCGTATGTCGACAGTAACTAAAAAAATTCAACAACAAAATAATAATAATAAAATTTTCATTTGAAAAGATTAAACAAACATAATTCTCTATCAGTATGAAGTAAAATTAATAAAATAAAATTGAGTTATCTATTCTAAAGGGAAAAATAACTCGGTCTGTTTTACTTTTCAATTTATGAAACTTTACAAAAACACTACACGTGCCTGATTTATACTTTAGTGATACGAAGAATAAGTCCTATGTAAATATTACTCGACAAAAGAAGAAAAGAAAAGTAGAAAGGAAGTTGAAGAACGTATCCTCTAAATACATACACATACACATCTAAAGTAAAAAAAATTCAACATTAAAACAATCGTAAACTAGAACAGTGTCAATGAAAATTAATACGGTTAGATATATGTGAGATGAACAAAACGCTAATTTTATCGACTCAAATGTGATAAGTTCAAAAAGAGGCAATATGAAATAGATCAACAGCAGATAATTCATAGTAAAAGAGTTCATTATTTTCAAGACTAATGCAAACTTTAACATTCTATAGGAAGTATATTAAAAGTTTTTTGTCATCTAATACAGTATAGATAAGTTCCGATGGTTAATATAAAACATTTTGTACTCATCAAGGTTTTTAATTTTTTACCACGAAGATTTAAAGCATATGCCGTCATTCATATAACATTGAAAATTAGAAATTTTGTTTGCATTTATTATGATAGAGAGCTTTAAGTTATGGCCACAGCGGAAGAAAAGAACAAAAAAAAATCGTAAAAACCATCTGTTCCATGATATATATATATATATATTTCAATTTGAAATAAGCACGCACGAAACTACATAGCTCTCTTAGTAAACACGACTATGAATTTTTTTTTCTCTTCATTTTTGTCATCATGATGGAATTTCGTTTTTGCATGTATCTATATTTTTCTTCTTTTTTTTTTAAACGAACTATATACAAATATTTATAAAGAAAACACGCTTCTATCTCAGGTTATGTCTTCAAAAATGCATTAATGAATCTATTGATCTTTTATGAATCATTAACTCGACAAGAGATAATAGATTAATGAACAGTTGAAGAAAACTGATTCATTCATCAAGACGAAAAAAGTAACAAAATGATTAAAAAGGTTCAAGTAGAAATAATAAATGAAAACTTTTCTTGAAAGATGCAACAGTTTCTATTTTTGTATCTAAAACTATTCAATGATTGAGATAGCAAAGATCTCTATGTGAAACTATAGTAATATTCAAGCTGTTTACGATATACTTATTCTTCTCAAAATAACTAATGAAATAAAGAAGTTGAAGGCTCGTGTATATATTTTTTGTAAAAGAATTTAAACTCAGTATGAATATCAGCACTTGTACAAATCATTTTGTCCACTTAATCGGCATCGACTTTAACGAAAATTTTTGAATTTCTACTCGTTTTAATTCTGAACAAGTTTTCTGTGAATGTTCATTCAATCATACAAAACCGATAGACGAATTCCTGCTATAAATGAATTTCGACCTTCTATTTCTCTCAAAAAAAAAGATCTTTGTTTGGTTCTTACTCTTGATTATTATCAAAAACAAAAATGAGGCATGAATAAACAGACTGAATACAGTTTCTTTCTCAATGCTTCGGTGTATAGTTCAAGGTGCAGAAAATTATTTTTATACTTAGTTATAGAGAGCGTACTTCGTTTAAACAAGTAATACTCTGCATTATGCTTGCTTCATCTTAACAAATACAAATACAAACACTACTTTTTCTCTTTTTATTACAAAAAAAAAGGTATCAAAAGAGAACAAAAACAATGGTTCAATTATTCATCATAAATGTCAGATAAACGTAAGTGTTTGTTTAACATGTACCATCGATTTAAAAATCCGATATCCACAATGTACTTATGATAATGTATAATTGACAATGGACGATTTAGATTTTTACATAGATTTTCGTACAATTTTAAATTTTCTTTTGTCTTACTTTTATAGAAGACAACTGAAAATAAATAAAAATCTTTATATTGTAATTGCTCTTGACTTAGTAGTTTTTCAATGGTGTTCAAATACGTTTCCGATTTTACGTTACGTATTAAACTTGATGTTAGAATCATTGAATGTTGAATATCAAGTAATCTATCTTTATACGAGTTGAAATTAGGATTTTTACGATATGATTCAATTAAAAAATAGATACCAGAGAATGAAATGATAGATTTTAATGGTTTAGCATAAATTTTTTTCCCAGTATCAATAAATGCATCTTTATAATCGAGACCCAAATTTTTGAAATAATTATAAACAAATTTTGATGGACGACGAAATAGAAGGGTTTGAGTTTTTTGAAAAAATGTTGTTGTTGTTGTTGACACCGCCATATAATAGACAAAGAACGAAGGAAAGATTGATTTAACTGACAAAAACGTAGCAGTAAACGCACTAGAAAAAACAAAAAATTCAGAATTATGAGGATTGTTTTCTGATAACGAAAATTAAACGTTCGTTCTATAACTGAAAATGGTATGCTTCTCAAATTATACATAAAAATAGCCTTTTGTTTTGCTATTATAAACTCAATACTTGTTGTTTCATTTTAGATTTCAACCGCAGAAAGGATAAGACAAACGAATACAAATTTGTCAGTTAAAACAATCTTCAAAGCCCAGATACTTCAAAAATTAGGGTTTGATATGTTTATAGTTAAAAACTACCGCTTATTCACATTTATTAATCACAAACATTTCTGTAATAATGATAAAGAATATAAAACTTACCAAAATACTGTGTATCAGTTAGAGAATAGTGGGATAACTGATTATAAAGTTCGTTTCTGCCAATTTAGTGTCTAAACGGATTGATAAAATAAGTATTAGTTCACTTCTACTTAAATAGATATGCTTACCTGTTTTTTTGTTTATTTACGTTTTCTTCAAAATTGGACATAAAAAAACTAAACACATTCAGCAATTAATCGATATACAATAAACGCCTCGCAAAGGTGGACTAATAAAAATACGCAACCTATATGAAACAAAAGAACAAGAGAGAAATATGAGAAACAAAAATAATATAGAACAACAAACATCACATACAGACAGGATGATATACAAGAGCAAATGACGTCATTAAAAGAATGACATGTCGAGAATGTTTACTGATGAAAAAAGTTTTTTCTTTAACTTCTTTTCAAAAAATATGAGAGCGAAATTTGCATTTGAGAAATTTTTTTTGAAGAGAAACTTGCATTTTTGATAAAGTTATACTACTTATGCACGAAGGAAACCATATGACAAACAGACACATTCAAAGAGGATAAAAATCGCTTTTCTATTGAAGATTAATCGACGAATGAAATGAAATGATAAGTCATAAGAAAAGCAACGATTTAGAGTTAGTTTTCTTTACGATTTATCTTACCTGAGTTACGTAGGGAGTTTCTGGTGAAACTTTAATGATATATCCTGAAATCCGTCTGGATGATCAGTTAAGGCTTAAAATGTTTCAGTTTCTCTTTTTTCGAAGGAAAGTTAGGGCCCGAAGCGGAGAGATCGATAACTTTTTGAGGATGGACCGCTGTCAAAATTTTTCAGGCTTGATGGAGCACGCCGACGTTGATCAGGACACTGCTGAAAGTTATACGTGACGGAAATTTTTTCTGTTTTATCCTAATGCTTACACTGTAAAACAGTGGCGTGAACAAGTTAGAAGCTATAACGATGAATTCTTTTTTGGGAAAGTTGAAGGTAGATTGTTTTCTCTTAAGGGGGATCATTTTGAAGATAAATATCGAACTACCTTTCTGGTATTTATGCATATAATTTTATCGGGTACTTTTATCTGCTTTGATATAGCAGCATCGAAAGTGCGCGTGAGTAAAATTAGAGATGAATCGGTTTTAAACCCTCGTTTCTCTGTAAATTCAACGGGAAAAGGAGTCATAGATAGGAGAATATATGATAAATTCAAAAGAAATCTTCAAAGTTGTGATGATCGCTCAGCATCTCGTTTCCACGCTTTTTATATTTCAAAATCTGTGAGGACGTCTTCTCTACTGTCTCTATGGTTTCGCCGTCTGTACTGTAAAATGGAATGGATAAAAGTATCATAATATGTCGCCAGTTACAGTTAAAACTGCTACAGCGAGCGCATAACAGAAAACTAGTCATAACTATCGAAAAATATTTCTACGTAAAATCAAAGTTTCTAACGTTTTTCATCAGCTAAGAGAAAGCGTTACGTTTGACATATTTTACATTTACAGCTTATTATTTAGTTTTTTCTGATGTGTCAGTGCGTCTTTTGTTACAAAATTTTATTTATTATGACAATATAAGAATATGTATAAACTAATGTAGCAAATGCTTATCGCTTGGTAAACATAGACAGTGAAGGATTTTTACTAAAAGAAGAAAAAACATTCAAATATGCTTTCTTCTAATAATTTCGTTCAACAGTTGTGACTAGTTACTAGCTGTAGGAAACGTAGTCGAGAATCGGCTGTGGTAAAAAATGGTGCGAGGATCTCATAGAAGTTTCTACTTTTTTCACACATTTGTTAATTTTTAATCACTCCATTATTTTGTTTAAATAATGAACCCGACTATCTATTGAACATTTTCCGACACAGCCTAAGCGTGGTTTTATCACGTTTCCTGACGAACAATCTCGAAATTTTTTTTCAATAAAATCGATGTTTGTTTAAGACTGTATAACTCGGCAAAACAAAATCGTGAATGTTTCTTGCGGGCCAGGTTTTATTGGAAATAATGGGAAAAAAATTTGTAAATTTTCACGGATTTCATAGTGAACTTCTATTCAGAACGAGATTCTACGGATTTTCAACTAAGGCTGCAATTACAGTTTTTTAGAATAACAGATAACCGTATCTTTTACTTAACCACCATTACCATTTTAATGTAGCGATACATTATCATTAGTATAATATTAAAATCTAGATCTAAATAGAAGTGGCGTATTATAATTGAGAGTGTCGCTTTATGACACTTTCAGCATAGTCGTGTATCGTCTTATGACTTTTACAAAAACAACATTTTTAATGTAAAAGATAAACATTATGTTATGAAGGTTATGGTTTAGTAGAATATGTTTAAACGTGAAAAAACTTTTATGTTGTTTCTAAACTTGTATTGTAGATATTTTTGTATAAGAAAGATATTCTCTAACTTATGCCGAAGAAAAGCTGAAGCCTTTACGGTAAAAATTTGTCTTTTTTCATGTTTTTTTTTCTTAAAATTTTTGCCTGTTATCTTCACGTTTTTGTTGCACAATATCACAGTGTTAAGTCAGTTTTACAAATACACTACATTCATAGATAGAACTTGTCTTAGATTTTTTAATTTAATATATTTTTTGGTTGTGAAAGTCGAAGTTTTTCTTTAAAATTTTCAAGAAATTTGTTTATTTTTATTTATTTTTAAAAAGTTAGTTTGTTTTATGTAAGCGTTGACGAGTGAGCTAAAAAGAGATAAATAAGATAGCATCGTTTATTTCATCAAGTAGATTAGAAAAAAATTAATCTTCTTTACAGAATTGACATCTGAAGAAACGTATGTTGTTAACTATTTAAAGGGATATTTTCTCTTTAAATGACAAACGTTACAGAAACACTTTTATCATTACTACTCAATAATTTTATTGTCGCTTCTTACAGAAAATTTTTCACCAAAAAAGTGTAATACGACGAGAAAACATCTCCTTTTTGTTATTCAGGTGTCGTATTAATTAAGTTTTACAGTCGTTTCATCTCACATTCGATATACAGAAAATTCGAAATATGAGACGATAACATCTTTTAATTTTTTTTTTCATCATTTAATAGCGACTACAAAGACTTTTGCTTCAATTTTTAGTATCATTGTCAACTTTTCTTCAAAAATAATGATGACTTGTAGAAATCTTCTATCATTCAATAATTATTGTGAGAATGTTTCACTTTAGTTAATGTATCTTGTCAAGATTTTCTCTTCGATTTATTCGTTACTAATTAATTTTTTAATTTTAATCTAAATAATAATGGTGTAAAAAGTGATATGAGAATATGGAAAAATTTCAGATATAATCGATCATTCGTGTGCTAAATTTTGTCAACTTGAAACACATGTTAGATTTCATTTGAATAAATATGATTTATTTTTAAGTTTCTAGATCTATCTGTTTTATTATAGTTGTAAAATTATTATAATGAATATATATTCGGTTGTAACACTTTGGTCTCGAAGTCAACAACAATATGGAAAGATAGCAGAAGTAAGAAAAAATTTCAGTATTTTCTTCAGCTAAATTTTTACGATATGAAAAAAGTTTTTTAGAAGTTCGAGTACTCAAAAAAAGAGAAAGAAGAACAAGAATACTCCGTCTTGTGGCTACCGTTACTAGTTTAGAGTGCTGCCGATTAGTATTTTCAATAGTCTGATATCTTCCTTGCAGTTGACAAGCTTTTTTGACACGGTCACCCGTTTCGTTACTAGTCATCAACCATAGCTCTGAACAGAAAGCTAGCCAGACGCAGAGGTCTATCGTCCAATTGCTTTGAGCTCTCCATACACCTTGATTAACTACAGACTCGTTTTCCGGAAAGCTACGCAAACTAGTCAGCGGAGCTGCATTGTACGTCACAACTTCGTAAGTATGTTATCAGACACGGATGATCTGAGACACTAAGACATAAGGAACTTGTCCAAGGTTATTACATGACCTGCTAGCGCCACGGTTCAAACACAGTTCGTTTGAGGTATGTACATAACCACTAAGTCATGTTGTCCCAAAAGGAAAAGAGTTTTGAAGGTCATTACCTTTCTAGAATATTTTGAATTAAAATTTGATGTTTATTTTATTGTTGACTAATAAAAATTATTTGTTTAGATTGAAAGTCTCGATACTAATAGTGATTGGTTTTCAACAAATCCGTTTGCCAACAAAATAAATGATTTATATGCAGGAACAGTAGATGGGTATGTTATGCTACGTTTTAAACTAAAATTTATTATCTACTTGATCATTTTTTTTGTTGTTGTTGCGTTCTATCATAAATAAAAAAACATACTATTTAGATTAATGAGAATTTATTTAACATTTAAAATTATTATTAACTTTTTCTATTTATCTTCTGTTTTCAACAAATGAAAGTAGCTTTGAGTAATTCTAATCTTTATCCAACTAATTCTTTTGTCTATAGGCTGCAAGTGGCAGTTGAATTTTGGAGGTTAACGTGTGCCATATGTAAATATAAACGTCAATTACTTTTTTTGTTATGCATAATTCTAATCGTAGATTATAAATAGTTGATATCATGATATAATAAAGAACATACATACACACACATATGTAAATGGGTAATTGAGATATATTATAAATATTT